ACTTAGAAATTCCACGCTGTTCTCTTTTCAACTTCTAGAGCAGCGGTTCTCAACCTTTCACAGGGGTCGCCTAAGACCATCAGAAAACATATTTTTGATGGTCTTAGGAACCGAGACACCACTCCTCTATCCGTCTCCAGGCCCACATGCAGATACGCCCACATATGAGTACACGGCGACCCCTGTGAAAGGGTCGTTCAACCCCCAAAGGGGTCGCGGCCCACAGGTTGAGAACTGTTGTCTAGAGGTTTTCCTGAAATTAAATGTACTATGTTATGAATCTTACTAAATCCAGTTTGTCTCTTTGGCACAGGTGAAGGGGACAGAAATTGATTTCACAGCTGGAAGTGAAAACACAGGTAAGGTTACTGGCAAGCAGTTAGTCAATTTGGGGTATCACCTATTCATACACAGTTTATATGGTAAGATGGAGTCAGATCTGAGTTTGAATCCTGACTCAGCCACCTTCTGGCTGGGAAACTTTAATAAGTTTCTTCACCTCTCTGAACCTAGGTTTCCTCATATGTACAGTTCAAAATGCCTAATAATTTAAGAACTATCATCTACATAATTAGCAGACACCAGTTCATTTTAGGAATACACCACTTATTAGTCAAAATCCTACATGCATTCACAAAACAGTCTCCAATGCAAACTGCCCTGTGTTCCACATCCCACTGTCTGCTGAGCACCTTGGAGATGCCTTACAGCTGTCGCTAACCACAATGAGAAGACAATGCCAATATCAAGTGTGGTAGTCAGCCCCCAAGAGGATTCAAAGTTTGGAGGAAACTTATCATTCATTAATAGACAATAATACATATTTACTATGAGCAGTGAAGTGCTTCCATAACAAAAACCTAAAACGTTGGATTGGCTTTGATACTGGGCAGTAGTCAGAAAAGCTGAAAGGGCTTAGAGGGGAGTGTTAGTGAAAACCTGGAGAGTCTTGAAGAAACTGTTAAAAGAATGCTGATGGCTTTTGAAAGGCTGTAGATTAAGGCCTAAGAGAAAATGAGAAAAATGTTATTGGAAACTGGAGGAAAAGGGTCCTTGTTATGTAGCGGCAGGAAGTTTAGCAACACTGTCACCTGCAATAATGTGTAAAGCAGAAATGTGCTTAATTAACTGGGTGTTCTAGTAAGTGCATTGCCAGCTAGGGTGTTGAAGGTACTGACTGATGTCTTCTCCCTGATTATTGCAATATGTGAAAAAGAAAGAGATAATCTAAAGTAGGACTTAAAAAAAAGTATCCAGAGCTTGCTAGATTTGAAAAATCCCATCTTCTCTAGATGGGAAATAATGCTAAAATGAAAAAATGGTTTTCAGTCAAAACTAAACTCCAGGATGCTGCAAGGAAAGCATTATGAAGCTACGAGTGTGGCTGTAAAACCCTTTGTTCATACTTCAAAAAGATCTACAGCAGTGATTCAGAGAATCATCCAAATGATAGGGCTTCAGAGAAACTTATTAGTGTGGTGTCTCAGCAGTTTCAGTAGAGGGACGCTCAGAGTAAAGAAGGTCTTATCTTGAAGATATTCGTAGGTATGATTTCTGTCCAATGAAGTGGTGCCCCAATAAGATTCATAGGAAACTCACAATATTTTAAAAGGAATTATATTGGCAGAAAGACTGCCAATGGGACAGAGACAGTGCAGAAAGAAAAGGGGTCTTTAGACTGCCTAAATTCTACTGGCAGAAAACAGACTGACAAATTATATAGCTGCAAACATGGGCTATTTTTCATAGAAATGGAAGGATGACTCAGAGAGTGGAATCAAGAACTTAGAGGGTAAAGTCAAAAGCCATGGAGAGTCACTCCAGCAGTAGAAGTGAGCAGAAATAGGACTGAGCCCTAACTGAGGAACTTCTAACAAATTCCAACTGAATTTCAGGATTGCTATAGACCAGTGACTCCTCTGCAGCTCCTACCTTTTCTCCTTTTTGAACAGGAGTGTCTGTATCAGTTAACCTAAACTTGTCCCACCATTGTATGTTGGGAGAGTGGAGAAAAACAAGTATTCAGATGAAGAGGAACTATACTTGAGGAGCTGCATTTAAGACACTACACAGAGGAGCTTCATCCACACCTGGACCTGATTTAGGAAAGATCCTAGACTTTAAGCTGATGATGTAATGGATTGAGACTTTGGGGATCTTGGGAGGAAGTGAATATATTTTGCATTAGAGAAAGACGTGAATCATTGGGGCCAAAAGGCCGAATATGGTAGCCAGCCTCAAAGATGGCCCCAAAGACCCCCACCTCTTGGTATTCATGCCCTTGTGTAGTCTCCTCCAACAACGAACAGAGCCACTTTCTGTAACAAATAGACTATGTCAGAAATGACGATGTGTGACTTCTGAGCTTAGGTCACAAAAGACATTTCATCTTCCACTTTGCCTTCTCGGATCACTTGCTTTGGGAGAATTCAACTGCCGTGTCATGAGCATGCCCAGTACAAAGTGGTGACTCTTCCTGCCAACAGCCATGTGAGTGGACCATTTTACAAGCAAATCCTACAAGTCAAGCTTTCAAGTGACTGTAATCCCAGCCAACATTTTCAGTGAAATCTTTTAGGAAACCCTGGGTTAGACCACCCTGCTAAGCCACTCCCATGTTCCTGGCTCACAGAAAGTGTGAGATAATAAATGTTTATTGTCTTAAGTCACTATGTTTTGAGCTAATTTTTTATGCAATAATAGATTAACATAATAATGTATGGGTTGTTTTGTTTTGTTTTGTTTTTTTATCCTGGATGGTCCCAAAGATTCCAATTCCTGGGGAGTCAGACTGTTTTAATTTTTATACAGAGGGGTACAGAAGGTCTGTCTCATTGAGTCTGTCATACCTCATCACCAGAGCTTTATGAAGTCCCTTTTTAGCAGTTCCATCAACTTCTGCCTCTAAGACCCTCTCACCACGGAGGGCTTAAAGAAGGATTGTGAAGTGTCAGATACTGAACTGCAAAGTATGATATTTTAACTTTCTGTCAGGCAAAATTAAGAACGAACAATAACAACAGTAATGGCAACAAAAAGACACCCCTCTTCCTCCCCATCAAAGATCTCCCACATACAAAAAAATTATTCTTTAAGACATAAAAAAAATGGTTTTCATTGAAAAAAAAATTTTTCTAAATGTGATGACATTATGTTTGTAAAATCTATTTCCTTTTAAGTCTAGGGAGGTGGAAATTAGTATGTAGAGAATAGTGTTTCTCGCTCTCTAACCACACAAGAAACACTATTTGCTAGGTGTACTAATGTTGATGTTTGAGTTGACATTTGTTGAATATTTTTTTTCAGAATGCTGCATCAATCCCTGTTTCGATTGCAGACATAAAAATAATTTCCAGGGAAATGAACTGGAGAAAAGTAGAAATGTGTACGGAATTGGAGCAAAACCAACGTGACTTTTCTTTCAACATTCTATAGAATTGTTCTGAGGTTAAAAACACCCAGAGATTTCTAAAAAGCAAATCTCTGACAAAAGCTATACAGAGAGTAAGTATACATTATATGTGGAGACATTAAAATATATTTTAAATGATTTTTACCCCACCCCATCCCCTGGCATTGTTGTGAAGTTCATCTGGAAATCCTAGCTCAAAATTCTCCAAGAGAGTCAAAGGAAAACAGACACCATTCCATCCCCCTCCATTCTTCTCAACCACACCCCAGCCTCTCCCTTAACTAGATCAAAATGTTCTTTTCCTCTTTAAAATGCAAAACAAAAGCTCTTCAATGAGTGGGGGTTTGCTTACGCTACCAGCAGCCAGGCAAAAATGCTCAAGGTGTTAAAAATATGTTTAAAACTTCTTTCAAAGGGTCATTATGTGCATTACATATAATTTGTGCCAATACTAATAGTTAAAATGCAGTGAATACTTCTGCAAGGCAGGCACCTTTACATTTCATCCACAAAACAGCCCCATGAGGTAGGTATTACTATTATTTCCACTTTACATACATGTTTTTTTTTTGTTAAGTGGAAAACAGAACGATTAATTAACTTCACATGGTCACAAAGCCAACAAGTTGTAGTATCAGGATTTGGAGGGTCCCAGGCAGTGGATCTTCCCAAAACCGTTTTGTAGAGAGCCACAAAATGATATAGCCCGATTCTTGGCACTTTAGTTTTGGTTAATAAATAAGTCCCCTTCCATTCTTTGGAACCCAATCTGAATCTAGATGGTCTCTTTACATAAAGGAAAATGACTGCACACTGGAACTTTTATTGGGTAAATACTGTCTCTCTCCACCTACCTCACCTGACATCTCAGCCAAATCCAAGGCAAGCTCTCAGAAAAAGGCACGGAAGTTGCCATCCTATAGGTTCTGAGCCTCTAAGAGGCTGGAAGGCAAGCAAACAGACTTTGCAAATAGACAAAGTGTAGTAATGCTTTGGGTCGACAATGTTTGCTTAGCCTGAGATTCCCTGAGCCTAAAACAAACACAACCCTTCCCAGCGCCCTCTGGAAATCCCCAGCGGTCAGGCTCAGTCTGATAAACAACACCCTGTCCTGGCACCTTGCAGAGCACGCAGCAGAGGGGACCGAAAAGGTTGGCGACAAAGGGGAAGGAAAGACTGAACTACACGCGTGCACCCGCCTAGTGGCCTTGAAAAGTCGGGCTGACACCTGCAGGGAGGGCGTGGGGGAGGTGGGGCCTAGCTCCCGCCCCGGGAGCGCGCGGGAGACCTCTACCAGCCTCCCCTCCCTTCAGGGGATGCGGAGCCCCCGCGGGAAACGCAGAAAAAGGCCATTGCCACTTTAAATGACTCAGGAAGTGAAAGGAGGCCGCCTGACAGGGAAAAGGAAAGTGGAACCGGGGCGTCGCGGGGGCCGCGGCGCCGCGATCTCGGCGGCGTAGCGAGAGGCCGAGCGGGCGGCGCGGCGCGGGGGCCGACGGGGG